TGGGTGACACTAAGTGTCTCAGTTTCGTTAAGACCGCCAGACTACAATGGAGACACATCAAAGACATGTATGGCCGAAGGTTTGCTGTACTTCCTGGCGTGCAATCCTTGGCCACTTCGGCATATTAGAGCAGCCAGGGGGCTCTTACCAAAACACATGTCCTTGTGCAACCTTCTGCGTTGACGCCGCACGAGTTGCCACTTGGGCGCATTTGGCGCATCAAACCTTTGCAGTCTAGCAATTCCTTTCAGTGGTGGTAATGGAGGACTTGCAGTGAAAGGCGATGGCGCGTCTACTGGTGTGAAGAATGCGCTGCTCGACTCCCGGCTTTCTCCCCCTAGCTTTGGCTCAGCCGTGGCTGAGGAACACGCTCAGCGGCCTCATTCATAATTTTACTCGGCGTGAGCCTTGCCTGTGCACAGTGGTTGATGGCGGACAAAAAAAGTGACTTGTCTGTCTATGGGCGGCGCACTCTTTGCGAGTTTCCCTGTGAGCCATTGCGACAACCAAAAACTAAGTTAAACACTGCCGCTAATTTTCCAATGTTTTGAGAAAGCAGCATTTCAGCTGACTGACACTGACACTGTCACTGTAACTTGTCCTGACTGTCTGATATGTAGCCACGTTGGGTTTGCCAGTTCAGTGCGTGACATGCACTGACTGTGATTGCCCTGTGCCAAGGCCAATGTCGGCACAGGATATATCGCCTGACACGCGACCGCATGACATATGACAGTTAGCCGAACAAGGAGGTGTATATCAGGATGGGTTTTCTCAACCTCACATTGTTTTCTCGAAACACACACCGTTTTTCTCGACCTTGTTAAAAACAAACGACTGCACCGCAGTGCTGAGAAATCAAGAGGTACCTGGTTTTTGTGAAGCCATACTGATCTAAACCCTGCTGACTGAACACCTCACGTCTTTTTAGTGACTGCTGACAGCAAGCGTTCGTGGCGACAATCTCGTACCCCTAACACTAGAGGGCCCCCTACTAGAAAGCCCACTGCTCAACCAGAACAGCCCATATTGATCCTCTCCTAGCCTTTCCTGCCCTTAGCGCGCCAACGTTTTGTAGAAAAGAAGCCCAGGCTTCTACACCTACCGTGTGTGTGTTAGTGGACCTCCAATAAAATCCCAACACTGAACACCCCACACCTGGAACGGTAACACGTTTAAATACCCAGTGGGCATTTTTTGAGGGGGAAGTTTTTGAGTAGCGCGAGGGTTTAGTTTAACGCAATGATGTCCTTTTCCTTCTTTTCGGAGGGCTTCCTTTGACAAGTTACCCCGACAAGAGACTGGCTTAACTTGACGACGGGTGGCCCAGAAGCGAAGAAACACATTAAATTAACTCTGACACCTTCCCCGCCTGATGAGCAACAAAACGTATAATAAACCCATCAACGTGTCTGATGAGCAGGCTTAGCACGCGCGATGTTGTGAACTGAAGCTGTTGGTGATGCTGCGCGTGATGTTGCGCATGATGCTGCGCATGGTGTCATGGTGCTGCACGTGACGCTGCGCATAGTGTTGCCCATGATGCTGCGCATGATGCTCTGCAGCCTCTGTGCCCGATTTGTCATGTCCGCTTGCTCTTGTCAACCTCTCTTGTCCATATCTGTGCGCAGTTTGGCTGGGCAAGAAGGCTGGCGGCTTTACCTGCGGAAGTGTGCTTCGCATGCATGTTCGAGAGCTGTGGAGATGTGGAAGTGTAAGTCTCACAATGCTTTTGCATCTTAAAGTGGCGAGAGATGCGAGAGCGCGCTTTCCGTTAGAAGTTGTGATGCTTCACGTGCTGTATCCCGCAGCACTTTCACATCTCTCTTTTTTCCAATAGAGCGCAGCACACGTGCTGCCATACTCCCCCCGAAGCTAGGTCCTGTTCGGCTGCCGTTCTTGCCTGTCTGAGCCTCGCGCCTTGGATGCCTCCATTAGCAAACATGAACTTCGCTTGATCAAGAAGGACACGAAGGTGGATACCAGTGTCTGTAGTGATGGACGGTCATTAAGCGATTTCAACATGGTTCCGGATATTGCATTGGGCCTTCTGGCCAAGGCGTGGAATGGTGTTTTCAGTGGCCATCTGTGCATTCCAGCTTCCTTTCAGTATGACTGGAGTACTCTTATTGGCAGAAACACTTGATGCAGATATGCTCACCTGCGTACAGGCCGTACAGGCTTCACAGCAGGGCTATAACCAGGAATCTTGTTTTGCAACGTGTGAGGTTTTTCCATTTTGGAGTTCTTGGCGGACTCCCCAAAAAGGCTGGTTGGGAAAGTTTCTACAAAACACAACTCATTATCGAGAACGCACAGATAAAAAGAATCGGCACAGCTGTGTGGAAGCACCACGAACATTTTGAAAATGTACAACACACTTCGAAGAAGCAGTTCAGTAGGTATTAGCAAATGCAGGAGTCCCACATACAGTGGTTGGATTGCGAGCACAACCCTTTCCTGTGTGCGAAGGCACTTGCATGCGCAACACTCTCTGAGTTGTAATTCTGCATCTGATCCAGACAATCAGGGAGGCTGTGTACCTGATCGTGTGTTCGGGAGAGTTTGAGCAGCTACCTCAGTGGCACAGGCCGTTTGACGCCAAGTGTGGTGCGAATTGCTGGATTGCGTCCACCATTCTGATGGCGTGGGGACGAATTTACTGTAACCAGTACTCACGACCGACAGACGTGGACTGGCGCATTACCAGAAAGGCCATCAAGGCCCTGCCTACTAAGGCACAGCTGAGATGCGACACAAGAAACCAGGGTCCTCGGCTTGTGCCATTGTGGTCAGAACGACACACTTTTGACACCGTATTGAGTGCTGCCCAGCACAGCAAGAGGGAGGCGTGACAACCCTTGCGCGAGGGCGGGGTCACTTTTTGTGCCCTGCCATACCGGAAGCAATCATGTTCTTCTTGGCATGCCACAGTCGCCCGTGATTACAGCACAGCGGCTTTTCACTGACTACCCGGTCTGGGCCTATACAGATGGTTCGGTCCTGAAACCAAATTGTCATGTAACACTTGGTGCATCTGGGGCAGTGGTGTTTTACCAAGGCTTTGACGCATGCTGAGCTAGCAGAAGAAATTCGCCAAGCAAAACTCACAAGAACCCAGAGGAGCAATTGTTCGACGTTGGCTACTGGTAAACTTCAGGGAAGACTGACAAGAAGTCGTGCAGAACTCCAGGCTGCCATTACTGCAGTGGACTCCTTTGCAGACGTCACTGTTTTCACCGACTCACAGTATGTCATGAGCCTATTCGGAAAGACCAAAGAGGACTTCAATCCGGCAGACTGGGCAAACGCTATGAATGGCGATTTTGTCCTCAAATTCCAGAAGGCATTCACTTCGCATGGCAGGCTTCGTATGTGATCTTGTCACACTGAGCGCGCTCTATGGTATTTCAGATCCCACATCCGTCCAACACTGAGGATTATCTGTACAGTGACTTGCGCTAAGATGCCGGTGTTGGTCCTGGAGTTGCGTGATAACCGAGAAGCAAATCCCAGTTGGGCTTCGCTGACCCTCGTTGGCATCGATGGCCTGAAAAGCTCGTTGCCGTGTTTGTGTTTTGAGTTGATGACCGGCGCCATGAGCTCAGGCTCTTGTTTGTTTTCACTGAGAGGCGCGCGTAAGTTGCGCCATCCTGGTCAACTTCTTGTCAATCGGCTGGAAAGCCGTGACTTGCCACTGTCGTGTTTGGCTGGTGTGTGCATGTACCAGCTCCTCTCATTCCAACTCCATGACGAAGCCCATGTCATCTGTCCAATCGGCGTAGCAAGGACCCTGAGAGGTCAGCTGCCTTCTGCGTGGCAGGTCATTCCTCTTTCTCTGTTGTCAAAGGGCTGAGTATGTTCATGTTGACTTTTATTGCCCCAGCCTTTTCCACCTTTCTTACCCCAACATGCCCGATCGTAGTGATCCGTAGTGACATCGTCGGCCATATTGACCTTTTTGCCGTGTTCTTTTCTGACAAGGTTCAGATTAAATCCGCCTTGTCGTTTGTTTTGCTTGTTTTTAGAAGTGGGCACAAAATGTGTCTTCGTCCTCTCTACCGATGAAGCCTTCATTTCCTTCTTCAACCCACAACCCGTCTTCGCCTTCATACTCTTGGCTCGAGGATGTAGAAGACTTTCTGTCTTGCTCGTCCACTGGGTTGAAGGTTTGGATCGAGTTATTGTCATGATGAGGCGCTCGTGATTCCGTGTTTTCAGCAACGCGCAGCAGCAAATTCTTGGGCTGATGTTCCTCAATAACATTGCGCTGACCTATATTTCTCCCTGTTGGTTTGTCAGTCCACTATGGGTGATGAAGAGTTGTGTAAGTAGGTTATCATTGGTCTTGGTGTCTTGCTGTCAATCCCAACATATCGCCTAAGCCTGGCTTCCTGTGTTGCGTGGGGACATTGTGGTGACTGAGCGGCGTTGGCGGGCATCAGGTCATTCCGCACTGACCTGAGTCTCCGAAGCAATACCTCAAACTTTGAAGTATCTGCGAGGAAACTGCTGTGTTGGAGAGGCTGAGCATTTGGTTCGTCGCTCCCTTCAGGAAGTTCCCTTCAGGAAGTTCACTGGGTCTCTGAGCTGATCGTTGTCCAGCAACTCTTGGCACATGAGTGCGGCCCCACTCACTGATGTGAATGTGGCCCAATCTTCAAGGAGCTCCTCAAGTCTGAGCCAGCTGTCACGTCCGTCGCACAACAGTGGCAACTTGGCAGTCTTTTCGCGAGGTGGTTTAGGTTACGTTTGAGAGCCCCTCACTTGTAAGTAACTGCCTCTAGCGACAAGAATGTTAACATGACGGCAAATTGATGAATGCAGGTGCCGGGGGCATTTGCTGGAAGCATTGCAGGAGGGGTAGCTTGAGCCAAAGCAAGAACACATTTTACCACACAAAGCTTGATTTGCTGGCTTTGTGAAAGGCTTAGGAACGTAGATTCTGCTTCGCGCAGACTTGTTGGATTCAGCTTTCCACTCGAGAGCGGACAAGTCAG